AAAGTCAGATGCTTAGCCAACTGAGCCACCCAGGTGCCCCTTGTTTCCTAATTTTCTAATCCCTAATTATAAGACTTTTAAGTGAATTTACTATTTCATTTGGCAATTTCTAGAAAAATAGATGTCTCATTTGTGACACATAGCTAATTGGAAGTTGATTTCCTGATATATGAGATGTTATTTCCTTCTGCCTAGCTGGGTTGAGACTGTGGCACAATTATTTGTGCAGAGAAACTCTGTCACAAGAAGTGGTATTAAATGATGAGTATAACTGGATAGAAATTAGTTTATATGTAGTAAATGATCAATGCTTATATATTTAGATAGAGATCTTGACTGTTCCATGAGATAAAATGTGTGACTGCAGCAAATAGAACAGTGGGTTCAAATTAAATGAGTGATGTGTGGCAACAAAATGTTTTGTAAGGAGTTTGTGATGGTTTATCAGCAATTTGAAAATAAAGACAAGCTTTAAATAGGTACATTGGATAAGGCACATCAAATGAATCTCATTTCATTTTTAGATAGGGCTATTAGATGTACTTAATCAAAATCTCTCACATTCTTTGAAAACAGCATAATATTAGATTGAAACATATGAAATTGCTGTTCTTTAGATCAAAATGGAAATGCTGTATTTTTGAAATCATAAGTTTTAATCAAAATATGTAGTATTAGGTTCTATACCCTGACCAAGTTGGAGGACAGCGACCAGATATACTCTCTCATGTGAAACAACCAAGAAGTAGACAAAATATATGAAATGATGGAAAAGATCATTGACTATCAGACAATGAGGGCAGTGATATGTGAAGTAATTGGGCAATTAATAAGGTGAGCTTTACAACCATCCCAGCTTATTGCTTTGGAGAGTTTTCAGACTATAGTATAGGGAGCAGGAACCCAAGCAGAACCTGGTAGACTTCTTGAATTGAGGAGATGAAGGTGAGATTCTGGGGAGACTGAGGTCAGCAGAATTCACAAGACAGCATGGTAGAGAGGAGAGAATTGCATAGAGACAACTCCAGAGATCCATAAAAGATTCTCCTCAAGTACATAGTTGAGTATTGATTAGTGCATGCATGTGAGGAAACTACTTGCTGCTGGGGAAAGAACCGTATGAAAAAATTAGAGGTTATAGTGTCTGGTACTCACATAAGACCAGTAGTAGTGTCTGCTCCCAGCAACCAGGCTAGGAACAGCCTCCTGATTCACTGGGCATTAGATAGAGTAAATAGAAGAAATTTTACTCAGTAGTGGGAGATACTTAGCCCTAGACTGAACATTATGGCAGTTCTGTTTAATAAATCTTAAAAGCAAGACCTTCAGAAAACCAAACTGTTTGTACGTGACTTTACTGCATACAAACAAAACTCAAGAATACTTATAGGAATACAGAAGTATCCAGCACCTAATAAGATCAAAATCACAATGTCCTGATTCTAATAAAAAATTAGGAGGTATGAAAAGATGGGGAAAAATATGACCTGTAATGAGATAAATGAATCAATCAAAACCAATCTAGAACTGGCCCAGATAGTAGGATTAACAGACAGGACATGAAAACAGTTATTATAACTGTATTCATATGTTCAAAAAGGTATGTAGAGACGTGGAAGATATAGAAGAGGGCAACATTGAACTTGTGAAGAAAGTAATGGCATTCAAAGATTGCAGAAAAATTAATAAACTTGAAAACATAGTAATAGAAACCACAAAAAATATAAAACAGATTAAAAAATAGAAATGTAAAAAGTAAATGGAGCAGTAGTGAGTTGTGGGACAACTTCAAATGGCCTACTGTCCCTGTGATTGAACTATCTTGAAGGGAAATCTCTACCCCATATTCCTTGCAGCATTATTTACAGTAGACAAGCTATGGAAACAACCTAAGTGTCCATCAACAGATGAATGGATAAAGAAAATACACACACACACACACACACACACACACACACACACACACACAATGGAATGTTACCTATAAAAAAGAAGAAAATCCTGCCTTTGCATCAACACACATGAACCTTGAGTGCATCATGCTAAGTGAAATAAGTCAGACAGAGAAAGACAAATCTCACTTATATGTGGAATCTCAAAAAAACTGAACTCAGATTGGTAGACTGGTGGTGGTTGCCAGGAGCAAGAGTGTGGGAGGAATAGGTGAAGGTGGTCAAAGAGTACAAACATCCAGTTATAAGATGAGTAAGTTCTGGGAACTAGTGTAGAGTATGGTGACTGTAGTTAACAATAATGTATATTTGAAAGTTAACAGAAAAGAGTATACTTTAAGATTTTTCATTGGGGGCACCTGGGCTGGCTCAGTTGGTACAAAATGTGACTTTTAAGTTTATTTATTTTGAGAGAGAAAGAAAGCGTAGGTGGGGGAGGGTCAGGGAGAGGGAGAGAGAGAATCCCAAGCAGGCTCTGCACTGTCAGCACGGAGCCCAACTCAGGGTTTGACCTCATGAACCATGAGATCATGACCAGAGCCAAAGTGGGATGCTTAACTGACTGAGCCATTCAGGCACCCAGGAATAGATCATTAAAAAAATGTACGGTTAGAATTAACATCTCAGTGTCAGAAAAGTATTATACCTTTAATTTTTATAAAGTTTTACATTTGTAGATTGTAGAAGTTGTTCAAAGCCACCACTTACTATGCCTTAATTGAGAAGTTTTTTTGAAGAGCTCTAGTTCATGAGAGAAAGATATGGCAAATGGTATTGATATGGCACAATTTCATAGCTTAATTCACTTAACTTAGCTGTAGTGGTTTGTGACATATGTAGTCACATGACAACACTCAACTATTGTCATGAAAGAGTATAGATCCATGTCTGTTAACCAGTGTATACTCCTTTTGGATTAATGTTTGATGTATAATTTCAGTTTTTTGATAATACATTATTGCTATTTTATCTGCAGTGAGAATGGAATAACAAAATATTTTTTGCAGATCAGTATATAGTCACTAGGCTTTTGGGGGTTGCACTGATAGTTTAGGCACATATTTGGGAAATCTAGCATCCAGCCATTGTCCAGATTACTTTTGATTGTCAGGTTATGATATCCAAAAATATTTTTCTCTTGTTTTACATCTAAAGTGATATACACACTTCCAGCTGTCTGAGGTTTTGGTTACCTGTCAATGCATGTACCTACTTGTACAATTTTTTCCCCTTCCCTGTTGTAGGTAGGTTTTAAGAAACTCCTAGCCCAAACTCCTAAATCACCTCTAAGACCTCAAGTTGTTGTTTATGGGTTAGCTTGTGTTGATTCTTAATTGATCTTGGTTTAAAATGGATTTAGGTCTTTGTTGAAGTTCGTGTAAAAAAAAAAAAGATTCTCATTCTAAGAATTGAGATACAATTCAAATCACAAAATTCACCCTTTTGAAATATGCAAGTTAGTAGTTTTTAGTATATTCATAAAATTGTACAACCATCACAACTATTCTAGAATATTTTCATTATTTTCCAAGAAACCCTTAGAAGGCTAACTTTTGAGTTTCAATGCCTAGTGTAAAAGTTTTTGAACTGTTTCCAAATAACTCTTTAACCAACAGAGCCCTCTCTGAAGGCCAAATTGTTATTTCTTCCTGCCTCATTTTCATTATATCCCAGTTTCAATGCACGTTTTAAAAATTCTCAATTTGGAGAACTTACCATATATTTATTTCTATGGGAAAAATAATAAGTAAAAAAGCAATATTTAGAGAAGTTGAAGATCATCATGCCATCATAAATTCTAAGTATCACAATCAGGAATATACTTTATATCAGTTTTACTTATTATGCTTAATTTTCAGCTACAGGCATATCTCATTTTACTGTGCTTCACTTTATTGTACTTCACAGATACTGTGTTTTGTTACAAATTGAAGGTTTGTGGCAACTCTGTTCAAGCCTATCAACATCATTTTTCTAACAGCATTTGCTCACTTCATGTCTCACTATCACATTTTGGTAATAATATTTTTAACTTTTTTATTATTATATTTGTTATGGTGATCTGTGATCAGTGATTATAACTTGCTGAAAGTGTAGATGCTGGTTAGCATTTTTTAGCAATAAAATATCTTTAAGGCATGTACATTGGGTTTTTTTTTAAGGCATAATGCTATTGCACACTTAATAGATTACAATGTAGTATAAGCATAACTTTTATTTGCATTGGGAAGCCAAAGGATTCATTTGATTTGCTTTATTGTGGTGATCAAGAACCAAACCCACAGTATCTAAAGAATGGCTGTATTAAATATTAGTTTTTTTGTTTAGTTTAACCTAATTGAATAAGGGAGTCCGTGTGACCTGGCTTTGAGTCTTGGCTCCTCTACTTATTCTTTATATTTTTTATTCACTCAGATACTTTGTTTGCTCATTTATATAATAAGGCTAATAGTTCCTACCAGATAGGGTTCTTGTGAAAATTAAAGGAGATAATGTATATAAACCACTTAATGGAATACCTGTCAACATAGTAACTACTCAAAGAAAGATATGTTTATTATTATCATGTCATACATACATAAGATAGATAGAAGGGGTGCCTGGGTGGCTCATTGGTTAAGCATCTGACTTTGGCTCAGGTCATGATCTCACAGCTCGTGAGTTCAAGCCCCGTGTCAGGCTTCGTGCTGACAACTCAGAGCCTGGAGCCTGCTTCAGATTCTGTGTCTCCCTCTCTCCCTCTATCCCTCCCTCATTTGCTCTGTCTCTCTCTCAAAAATAAATAAACACATTTAAAAAAATTTTTTTAAAGATAGATAGAAAATAAGATGTTCATAAGATAAGATAGAAAATTTTGGGCTGTTTTTTTATTTACACTTAGTTGTATCCAAGGAGAGTTCATTAATAAATTTCTAGCAGGAGGTCTCTAGTAATATTCCTTAGGACTTTCCTCCTGGTCAATGTTTTTATCCTTAAGTGAAAATACAGAAGACATAGTTACCAAATTCATAAATGTTACATAAATGTTGGTTGACAGGTTGAATTTCAATTAAATCTCAACATCCTGGAAAAAATAGACTGTAGCCAGGAAGATAAAATTTAATAGAGATAAATCTAGTCCCTTCATTTAGTTAGTAATAAGTCAATTATTTGAAAAAATAGTATGGGAGTTTCTTGAATGTTTTTGCAAAATTTTCAAATGAAAGATATAGGGACGAATAGGTGGAACACAGGGTCAGCGAAACTACTTTGTAGGGTGCTGTAATGGGAATTTATGTCCTTTTACATTTGTCAAAACACATAGAATCTACAACATAAAGATTGAACCCTAACTTAAATGATGGACTTTAATTTGTAACAAATGTACCATTGTAACAAATGTACCATACTAATGTTGTCAATTGTAACAAATGTACCATACTAATGTTAATAGTAGAGAAAACTGTAGGGTGGGGGGTGATACATAGAGATGCTGTATTTTCTGCTCTGTTTTCCTGTAAACCTGAAACTGCTCTGAAAAATAGTCTTAATTTTTTTAAAAAGTACATATATCTTCTATATATGGATATATATCTCACTGAAATAAGGCTGCTAAAATAATCTTACAATTTTTGACTGAAAGTAATATTGCTACTATATACCCTGAGTGTTTCTAAAGGTAACTAATATGATGAATGATTCGGAAACCATATCATGAGAAACCAAGAAAGCTATGAATGTTTCTCTGAGGAGGAGAAAATTTAGTGGAAATGTTTGAGGGACCCTTAGTGAAATAGGGAACAGTTTTATTGTAGGTATTGTAAGCAAGGACAGTTGTGAATGTTATATACCAGAGCATCAAATTTCTACGCATAAAAAAGGAATAACCTAAAAAAAAAAAAAAAAAGAAAAGAATAACCTTTTAACAGTAGATAAAATGAGATGACTTAAAGCAATAAGCTTCCTTTTAGTCATTGAGAGTATTCAAGCAGTGACTGGATCCTTGAACAATGCTCTCATTGGGACAGTGGTTTAATTTGATCACCTTTAAAGTTCATTATGACTCATAAGATTATATAACTCCTTGGCTTTTGCCAGTGAGTTGTTTTTTTCTTATTCCTGTGATAATCAGAGAAGGAAAAAGATGTGAAAAAATAAAGTACTTGGTGCTTCCATCAAACAGGAGAATTAGGATGTTTGCCATGATGGGAAGAAGTTAATTCTGTTTTTTTCTCTGAGATGTATCTGGGCTTCACATAGAGAATCTAAAGACAAGTTGTATGTGTGTAGGTCTGTACACACACATACACACACACTCACAGATTATGTATAGAGTGCCTATATATGTGTACATACATGTGCATGTGTATATATATGTTTATACATAAATGTGTGTGGATGGATATTTAATATATACACACACAAACATTATAATTCAGGACTAATTTCTGCAACGTATGCATTTTTACTTTTGGTGTAGAAGATCTATTTTAAATTGTTTTTTACTATATTTTTTTAAAGAAGCATTTACTATTTTTCTATTAACTTTTTATACCAAATATGGAAAGAGTGCTGACCTTTGCTTTGACTTCCTGACCACAGTACTCTGTCTTACTCACTGCCATCTTAACTTCTCTGAAGAACAGGAAATTACCAGAATGATAGCAATCATTTCAACCCAATACTGGGTTAACTGTTTTTGTCATAGTTTTCATATTTATTAAATGCTATATTCCCAGAATTTCTCTTTTTTTGGTACCTGTTTTGTCACCCAAGCAAGGTTGATAAAGGAACTACAAATAAATAATTTTTATTATGGGGAAAGTTCACACCCTAGAGTATAATTTCCTCAGTTTACTTTTAGTAAACAAACTTTTAGAGCACATCTTGTGTTTTGCGGATGGCATGGAATGGAAATTGTTTATAAGGGGGGGATTAGACATTTCTGTTCATCTGTATAGCAATCTTCTGGTTTTATTTATTGATCTTCCTCATTCATTTCTTCTTCTGGATTAATATTTGCTGTTTTTTTGACAGGCAGTGATGGTTTCAGAAAACTTTAATATAGAAGCTCCCAATTATTTGTCCAAGGAATCTGAAGTTCTAATTTATGCCAGACAAGATTCACAGTGCATCGATTGTTTCCAAGCTTTTTTGCCTGTGCACTACCGCTATCATCGGCCACATAGTAAAGATGGAGAAACCGTTATTGTGGTCAATAACCCTGATTTACTAATGTATTGTGACCAAGGTGAGGGTTGCAAGTCTTTTCTGAAGGTTGAAAATAAAAGTAAAGATGTGGTGGCAAGTCTGAAGTCAAGGGCAAGGATGACAAAAGCATGTTTCTTTTTTCTTTTTAATTTTTTTGATTGTAAAATAAACCATAGATATAGAAAAACTTCACAAATAAATAGTAAATTATTATAAGGCAAATACCCTTGTAATTACCTCCCAGGTCAAGAAATAGAACTTCACTAGTCACCCTAGCAGCAGCTCCGTGTGTCCTGTCTCAATCATTGCTTCCTCCTTTCCTCTAAAACTAACCTACTATCCTGACTTTTAATCACTTCCTTATGTTTCTTTATACTTTTTTTTCACCCAAGTGGGCATTCTTAGAGAATAAAGCTTCATCTTTTCCATTTAAATAAATGTATTACCGTTAAATCTCTTAATTTACAGATTCCTCCTCTTTCCCTTTCTTTTTTTGAAAATTCCCCTTTTGAGGAGCACCTGGCTGGCCCAGTTGAGCATGAGAGTCCTGATCTCAAGGTAGTGAGTTCAAGTCCCATGTTGGGCATGGAGCCTACTTAAAACAATAAAAATAAATAAATAAATAAATAAATAAATAAATAAATAAATAAAAATAAAAGTTAAAATAAAATAAAAATTCACCTGTGGAGAAACCTGGATTTCTCATAGTTAGGGTTTTGGTGATTACACATTACACTCATGCTGTTCATCTAGCCTCTATTTCCTGGAAGTTAGCCACTGGCTCCAGATGTGTGATCAGATTCAGCTTTGATTGATTTGACAAGACTATAGGTGGTGGTGTGTTCTTGTATGATTAGGCATATAATGTCTAGTGTATTTCTTTTTTCAGCCATTGATCCTCTGTCCCTTTGCTGCTTTCTGTTTCTTCATGCTGATTTGCAGGACTTGCAGCTATTGGTGTTTTGTATCCACTTGCATGGATTTGTGTATTTGGTGGGGATACTTTATCACCTAGTTTTGTTATAAATGTTGGCCATGACTTTTTGGTTTGGGGAATAATTTTTCTTTCTGTTTTACGTTAAAAAAAATTTTTTAAGTTTATTTTTGAGAGACAGAGCACAACCAGGAGACGGGCAAAGAGAGAGGGAGACACAGAATCCAAAGCAGGCTCCAGGCTCTGAGCTGTTAGCATAGAGCCCAGTGCGGGGCTCAAACTCATGAACCGTGAGATCATGAGCTGAGTTGAAGTCAGGTGCTCAACCGACTGAACCACGCAGGCGCACCAGTTCTTTCTGTTTTTATGTGTGATTTGTGTGAATTAAAACTATGCTTTCCCCATTTGCAGTCTTCCTAGAATCAAGACTTTAAGAAGCTCCTTTCAGATTTTGGCTCTTTGTATCTCCAAATTTGAGTTGATTGCAATATTCACAAATTAGTAGCACTAAAGACTGGGAGATTGGAAGTTTTTAATCCTACTCTCCTGCCATCAATCATATTTTTCATGATGAAAAAATAATAAAGTGTTCAATTCTGCTAAATTTGTTCATCCAGCCTAGCTTGCTTTCTTTTAATTACTCTAAAGTTTGAAAAAGTGCCCTTTTTAAAAAATATTTATTTATTTTTGAGAGAGAGTATGAGAGTGGGCAAGAGCACATGTATGGGGAAGAGGCAGAGAGAGCATGGACAGAGGATCCAAAGTGGGCTGCATGCTGACAGCAGAGAGCCCGATGTGGGGCTCAAACTCATGAACTGTGAGATCATGACCTGAGCTGAAGTCAGACACTCAACCGACTGAGCCACCCAGGTGCCCCTACATTAAAATTTTAAAATGTGGTACCTACTGTAATGGGATTTGTTAAGAAGTCATGCTTAACTTCTGCACAGTCTTAGTAATTTTGTAATTCCTTAGCATCCATGTAGAGCAGGCTCCTAAAATAAAACAGCATGTGATAGATGGATTCAGGTCATGTACATTGTGTATTAAAAGTTTGAATACTGAGGGGCGCCTGGGTGGCGCAGTCGGTTAAGCGTCCG